GCTATATGTCCTGGTTCCTGACATTTAAAGCATACTCGAGATTCTTTATTGCAATTTCCCTGATGTATCTAATAACATCGGGTACACGCCCTATCAGCAAACCTTGAGACTGGTCGATTCAAATTTTCCATAAACCTCGGTCTACGGAAATCAGTTACTGAAACTTCCACCTTTCTTTTCTCCCCAACCTTTTCTTGTGGTTGTCGATTAATGTCTTGTTCTAGAATTTCAGCTGCATCAACTGCCGCTTGAAATGTTGTCGGATTCCTGGATATCACATATTTCCGAAGATTCAACTCCAATCCCCAGATATACTTTCTCACCCTGCTGTTTTCAGATATTATATAGGCTTCGGCAAACCTAGATTGTTCCATGAAAACTTTTGTATACTGGCGGACTGGCATGTTTCTTTGTTCAAGACGAAGGAAATCATCTTCCAACTTTCGTACTGCAGCTTCAGGACAATACTGCATTTTAAACTTAACAACAAATTTTTCCCACAACATGGTCTTCAAAATGTTTGGATCTGAACTGGACAGGACTTCCCACCAGTACAAGGCACTTGATCTCAAACGAGATACAGCAAACATGACTTTGTCCTCTTCTGCACTTTTACTGATTTACAGACTTAACTCTATCTCCTTAAGCCAACACATAGCTTTAACAGGATCACACTCACTAGAAAATTTAGGAGGTTTACAAGCAAGGAACATCTTGGTATCTCCTCCCTTTTGTGCTGAGCATGAAGTAAGGGGTACAGATGTACCAGTCACCGGTGTACTAGCTCCGGCTTCCTCCTGATAATTGGGATTTCTTACCACTTCTAGATTATTTTGGGTTGTACGTCCCAACAAATTTACCAGACTTTCTTGAAACATTATGTCCACCCCTTACTCTTCCTCGACCACGGCCAGACATCGAACTTTCTTGGGCCGACAATTCCTGTTCCCCATGAGTTTCTTGTCTAGTACCTCTACCTCTTCCTCGACCCCTGCTACGACTTCACGTTTCTATCGTCATCACATTTTCCAGGTCCTCTCCTTGTATTACGTTTCTT